GACTGACTGACTGACTGACTGATGACTGACTGAATGACTGACTGATGATTGACTGACTGACTGATGACTGACTTACTGACTGATGACTGACTGATGATTGCCTGACTGATGATTGAATGACTGACTGACTGACTGACTGACTGATGATTGACTGATGATTGACTGACTGACTGATCACTGACTTACTGACTGATGATTGACTGACTGACTTACTGACTGATGATTGACTGATGATTGACTGATGACTGACTGATGATTGCCTGACTGATGATTGAATGACTGACTGACTGACTGACTGACTGATGATTGACTGATGATTGACTGATGACTGACTGATGATTGCCTGACTGATGATTGAATGACTGACTGACTGACTGACTGACTGCTGATTGACTGATGATTGACTGACTGACTGATCACTGACTTACTGACTGATGATTGACTGACTGACTGATGACTGACTTACTGACTGATGACTGACTGATGATTGCCTGACTGATGATTGAATGACTGACTGACTGACTGACTGACTGCTGATTGACTGATGATTGACTGACTGACTGATCACTGACTTACTGACTGATGATTGACTGACTGACCCACTGACTGATGATTGACTGATGATTTACTGATGACTGACTGACGACTGACCGATGACTGACTTACTGACTGATGATTGCCTGACTGATGACTGACTGATGATTGCCTGACTGATGACTGACTGATGATTGCCTGACTGATGACTGACTGATGATTGCCTGACTGATGACTGACTGATGATTGCCTGACTGATGACTGACTGATGATTGCCTGACTGATGACTGACTGATGATTGCCTGACTGATGACTGACTGATGATTGCCTGACTGATGACTGACTGATGATTGCCTGACTGATGACTGACTGATGATTGCCTGACTGATGACTGACTGATGATTGCCTGACTGATGACTGACTGATGATTGCCTGACTGATGACTGACTGATGATTGCCTGACTGATGACTGACTGATGATTGCCTGACTGATGACTGACTGATGATTGCCTGACTGATGACTGACTGATGATTGCCTGACTGATGACTGACTGATGATTGCCTGACTGATGACTGACTGATGATTGCCTGACTGATGACTGACTGATGATTGCCTGACTGATGACTGACTGATGATTGCCTGACTGATGACTGACTGATGATTGCCTGACTGATGACTGACTGATGATTGCCTGACTGATGACTGACTGATGATTGCCTGACTGATGACTGACTGATGATTGACTGACTGACTGATGATTGAATGAATGACTGGCTGACTGACTGACTGACTGACTGACTGACTGACTGATCAAACATTCAAACTAAATGAATCTTTATTTAAACCTTGAACACAGACTTCAGATCAGACTCTCAGGTCTCTGTGAAGAGCGTTTATCTAACATCCATCATTAGGACACTGACAGGTTCAGACCTGACTGACAGTGGAGGAGTCGGCTGTGATTGGTTTACCTGTGATGAACACAGTGTATTGTCCATCACATTTTCAAAATAAAAGACAATTCATTCACTGACTAAAAGCTCTTCAAAGTAAGATTCCTTCATAGAAATGTAGTAGATTCAAAAGTACAAGATTACTCAAGTACATGTACTTAGTTACTGTCCACCACTGGTAGCAGTAGTATTAGTATTACTAGGCTAGTAGTATCAGATGATCACATGACATCATTCACTATATTTATTTGAATGGAAGAAATTCAGATGTAACTGAACTGACCCTGAGCACAGACACAACATATTGAAATACATTCCTTTTCAATGATTAACTTGAATTAATTTTAAGCACAGTATTCTGTTTAACAATAATATTATAGTATTATTTATTAATTTAAAGGTTTATGTAAGCAATCGTCATAGCCACTAGATGTCACTCTACACCACCATTATCTCAGACCAAAACAAACGCTTCATTGGCCACGCCCCCCTTCCTGTTCAGGTGTTCCAGAGCTCAGTGAGTTTCCACTCACACAACAAGCGGCTGTGAACACGAGAGACAACAAACAGCCCAGACACAACCATTAGCTTCTTGATGTCATGATCTGACTCTGTAACATCATCCACACACACACAAACACACACACACACACACACACAAACACACACACACACACACAAACACGCCCGCATGCACGCACACATGTTAGAGTTTCTTATAAAGTTTTCTAATCCTGATCCTGAACTTTATAATTTCATGTTAAAGAACCTCTCTCTCTCTCTCTTTCTCTCTCTCTGTCTCTCTCCACACAGCTCTCTTGCCCTGACTGATTGGTTGATTGGTCAGTTTTAGCCCCGCCCTCCTGTGACGCTCCATCATGTCATCAAACATCAACGTCTCCCTGGACAACCCATACGGTCAGGTGACCATCCCACGGGCTAAGCTCCACCACCCTGATGACACTGCCACAGTGATAGCCAATCCGGTGGCTCTGAGCGGTAATGACGGGAACCCATATGGTGTGTCGAGCTCCGCCCCCCCACCACCTTATATGGTGAAGGAAGATGGAGGGGGGGAGGAGGAGGGAGGAGGGAAGTGCCGTGCTTGTTGCTATCGCTGCAGGAGGAGGAAGTGATCTCACTGTGGCATGAGTTGGCATCACAGTGACAGGACGTGATGTCACAGCATCAGGAGGACTGTGATTGGCTTGAAATGTCAAAGGATGGAAGGACAGGAAACAAAGACACAATTCAAAAGGTGAAAATGAAAGGAAGGAAGGAAGGAAGGGAGGAAGTTGTTTTATCTGTGACGGCCATTTTGTGTCAGTTAAACATTAAAAAGCAAAACCTGTGTCAACTTCCTGTTTGTTAAATCAAAACCTAAAAATATAAAAATTATTTAAAAAATGATTCAAGCTCAAAGTCCACTTACTGAAATATTTCTGAAGCTCAGCGGGTTCCACTCTGAAGAAGGCCATGGGATCCAGCTGAAAGCTACAAGAATTACTAGGAGTTGATGCTTTATACAAACATATGATCATGAGAATATATAATGATAATAATTATGATATGATCTAAAGCTGGTTTTGTTACATTTTTACATTGAAAAAAGAGAAAAGTTTATTTTTGATGTTTCAAAACCGAAAAAACTGACAGAAAAAGATCAATAATCAATGACATATTTATTGATCTGTGAGCAGATTAGACATAAAATGGCCGCTGCATGATGTAACATGGATTTCATCGTTAATGTGGAAGTGACTCCATTAAACTAAATATTCAGTTTTTTTTACTGTTCACATGAATGAATGAACAAACGGATGAAATAATGAATGAATGAATGAATGAACGAATGAATGAATGAACAAACAAATGAATGAAATAACGAATGGATGAACAAATGAATGAACAAATGAAATAACGAATGAATGAATGAACGAATGAATAAATGAACAAATGAATGAATGAACGAATTACTGAGTGAACGAATGGATGAATTAATTAATTAATTAATGGATGAATCCATTTAAACATCAATAATCCCAAACATCTTAAAATGAAGAATCTCTAATATAATGAGATTTTTGAAAATTCTGACGTTGAAATGAACAATGGTGAAAATGGTTAATAATTGTATAAAGTGATGAATGGATGAATCTTTTATTTTATTTTGTCTGTATTACATTAATAATATGATATAATCTATATGTATATTAATAATCCCCTGACAAACAAACTGTTTGCGTTTTATATTTTATCTCAGAGGAAATGATGATGGTCCATAAAGTATTAGTAAGTAGAACTTTTATTGTGAAGGAATTTTGATGACATCATAGTGTTTGTTCATTAGAGTTTTTCTGTCTGGTTCTAATAAAGAATATTGATAAACAGACTGATCAGCTGATCATCCTGTACATACCTCACTAAAACACACACACACACACACACACACACACAAGCTGTGTATATGTATATATCCAAGTTATACGTCTCTCCTTGTTGCCATGGCGACCTCAATCTGTCAACACTGAGCTGTAACTTGATAGGTCGACACCAGTGGCCAATAGAAACCTGAGAGCAGCTCCACTTTCTATTGGCTGATCAGGTTACAGGTAAGATTATTGATCGTGTCACCTGCTCAGGTTCAGAGTCTGAATATGTTTAATTTCCCTGTGTAGTTATTGATAAGTTATTGATAAGTTTTTGATTTGTGTTTGATGTTACAACAGAATTTAACTCCTTTCATTTTTACATTTTATTCTGTTGCTGTCGTTGAAGAAAAGTTTTCTGTTTGTACGAAGCTGAATTATTGATGAAGGTGACTCTCTCTCTCTGAGGCAGACAGAACGAGAACGAAAGAACAGAGAAGAAGAAAAGAGAGAGAACGACAAGTAGGAAAAGAAAGAAAGAGAAATAAAGAGAGAAAGAAGAGAGGAGGATATAACAAGAAGAACAGCAAAAGAAAGGAGGTAAACGTACAGTGGAATAAAAGAAGAGAAGAAGAATTAGAGAGGGATGAAAGAGGGAAAGAAGAAGAAATGAGAAACAACAGAAGATAAAATAGAGAAGAACAATACACCGGACAGCAGGAAGAGAAAATGTGATGTGAAGAAGATAAAAAACCAGGTGAGTTTGTGTTTACATTAAGAATCTGACCAATCAAAGCGCAGCAGGTGGAGAGCTGGACACACTGCGCAGTCCGGTTTCTGTTTTTCCGAATGTCCTGCAGTTAAATTTATCTTAGCATTAGCCTCAGTGCAGTTCTGAGCTCTGAACTAGACTAGATGAGTCCTTCATCTAGACTCACCTGCCACTAACGTTAGCCAGACAGCTAACAACCCACGACATGAGAGCAAGACAACTGAGTCACATTTCTCCTCTTTTAGTGGACTAACTCACTCTGGCTCCGGTTAGGTCCTGGTCAGGTCCTGGTCTGGCTCTGGTCTGGCTTTGGTCTGGCTTGGGTCTGGTTCCGGTCTGGTACGGGACTGGTCCTGGTCTGGCTCCGGTCTGGTCCCGGTCTAGTACTGGTGTGGTCCTGGTCTGGTTCCGGTCTGGTATGGGACTGGTCCTGGTCTGGCTCCGGTCTGGCTCCGGTCTGGCTCTGGTCTGGTCCTGGTCTGGTCCCGGTCTAGTACTGGTGTGGTCCTGGTCTGGTCCCGGTCTAGTACTGGTCTGGTCCTGGTCTGGTCCCGGTCTAGTACTGGTCTGGTCCTGGTCTGGTCCCGGTCTAGTACTGGTCTGGTCCTGGTCTGGTCCCGGTCTAGTACTGGTCTGGTTCTGGTCATTTCACAATAAAATAAAAAAATCTTAACAGAATATTTTCTTCTGCCAATCAGAAAAAATGTCTGATGACAGAAAGAAAGAAGAAGAAGAAAAGGAGGAAGAGGAAGTGACCTGTCAGCCCCTCCCCTCTCCCCCCTTCTCTGTTGCCATGGAGACACAGATGTCACTGAGGAGGCAGGACCTTGTGTGCATCGTGTGTTTTGGCAGCTACGACTTGGCAGCACGTTTGCCGCGGCGACTGAACTGCGGCCACGCCTTCTGCCAGGCATGTCTGAAGAGGCTGGACACGGTCATCAACGAACAGGTGAGTAATGACATCATCAGCACAGAACAGGTGAGGACAGGTGTGGAAAGCAGTTGAAGTTACAGTGACTAAAGCTTCCATGAGGACAGGTGATGTGTTGTGAGCTCAGACTGAAGACAGACTCCACCCCCAGGTGTGGATCCCGTGTCCTCAGTGTCGACAGAACACACCTCGGCCCAGAGGAGGAGCAGCAGGTCTGGACCTGGACTTGGCCTCCTTCCTGGGAGTGAAGGCCCAGCAGACCTGCACCTCTTCCTGCTCCTCATCCTCCTGGAGCTCCATCCACAGGGAGGGGGTAGCGACCAGAGATGCGGCTCAGGATGGGAAGCTGTGGCTGGGGAAGGAGGTCGCCGATGACAGCTGGTCACACGGAGGTCTGGCTGAGCCACGTTTCCACCGTTATGGCAACTGCTGCCTGCCGCCATCCTTTTGGCTGTGCTGCTGGTTCTGCTGCACAGGGCGGGGCTAATGCAGAGGGGCGGGGCTTAAACCAGTGTGCTGCTCTGGTTGTTTCTCCATGGTGGTGAATTTCTTCTGCTTTAACTGATGTAAAAACTTCAGTATTTAAATATAATAAATCATATTCTACAGATGTGAATCATCATTTTATATTTCTCACTGACTTGAGATCATGACAACATAAATAAAAACAGAATGTAAAATGTTAAACATTGTAGTAATTGTAATATGATCATGTGACAATAATATGATAAAAATAAAAAAGTATGAACATTTAAATCCCATTATGCAGAGAAATGGTCCCATTCAGTGTGAACATGGACAATGAACTAATTAATAGCATTTATTTAATTATACGTTCAACTATTTTAAATAAAGACAAAAATATGAGAAAAAATATTTATTCATATTAAGATATTTGACAAAAGTCGAGAAACTGAAAAAAAAACAAAAAACAAAAAAAACGGATGAAATGGAAGAAATGATGGAGGAAAAATAATTAATGTTTCTTTCTGACCAATCCCAAGCCTCCTGATGTGCCTCCACCAATCAGCTGACAGCTCCGACTGCTCTGATTGGTTTGAGACAGAAACAGAAACAATAAAGCTTTGAACATTCAAACAGCGTCAGTGGACGGACTGTTCTTTTAAAGGAACTGTTCTGGGCGAGCGACATAGCGACGGAATACAAACACAGAAAGAGAGAGAGAGAGGTTTGGCATCTTCCCTGCCATGAGGCACAAGGCATTCTGGGAGTTTGAGTTATAAAAAACAAACATGTCCTCTTCATGTCCCATACAGCGTCTTCCTTATGCAGAAAATTACCCACAATGCCTTAAACTCTTAAAATCTGTCTTGTCTTCAGGCCCCTCCTCCTGAGTCTGCCTGGCCAATCAGAGGCTGCCAAGCCCCTCCCCTACTCTGATTCGCTGTCCCGGCTGCAGGTTGAAGCTGAAGTCTTTGGGAGCCTCGAACAGCAGAACAATGGTGGAGCCGAGGTTAAACTCCCCCACCGCCTCCCCTCTCTGTAAGGCCACGCCCCCTTCACCTGCCGCCTTCAACAACTGGTCACCGGCGGCGATGTAGCTGCGGTCGTGGAAGGATCCTTTACTGTAGTGAGGAGCGTTGGTCTGAAGCTCCTGATGACAAAAACAGTCAACAAATAATTTTATTTAATAATTTAATAATTTATTAATACACCATTAATATTGGATAATATCAATATTGAATAATATCAATGATTTAATATTCATGTTTAATAATATAAAAAACTTCGGAAAATAGACATCACTTCTGTTCATTAACAGACTGTAAATTACACAAAAGATAAATCAATATATCAATAAAAGACATATTATCAATGTTCACCCTAATTTAAACATTAACATTTAAAACATTAAAAATAAAAATAAGTGAATTATCAGTATGATTTCAAACTCATGTAAATATTTTGATTGTAATATAAACAGCTGCTGCTGAAACATGAACATCAGACTGTTCTGATAAAACACGTTACAATAATTATATGATCATTAATTTAATATTAGTTTTAACATTATTCTTTTTTTCTGGAGCTGCTGGTCCAGGTCCTCACCTGGTCGAAGTAAACCCTGATTGATCCCACGTTTGTGGCTCCGACTGCTGTTAACGAGAAGAAGCCATGCTGCCATTGGCCAGTGAGCGCCACACGCTCGTTAAGACAGAAGAGCTCTTTGACCCAACGAGCCACACCTGGGTTAACCGACATTAACGAACCTAACGAGGAGAAAGACAGAGAGGGGTGGGGGTGGGGGGTTGAAGACCAGGTACACTGCAGAGAACAGACAGGTGAACAGGTGAATGGACTCTCACCTGGGAAGTGACGTCGAAGCTCCACCCTCCAGTCTGTGGGCGAATGGAAACAGTGATAGTCACCTGGAGCCAGGTAGACCACGACGTGGAACAAGTCGTTGTCAGGAGACGCTAGGAGGAGGTCCCTGAAGGAGGAGGAGTCTAAAGAGAGCATGACAACACAGGTGAGTCCAGGTTAACACAGGTGAGTCCAGGTTAACACAGGTCAGTCCCAGCTCACATTGGCGGGGGTAGAGTGGGCGTGTCCTTACCATTGCCCTGCCTCTTTTGTGGACCCAGGAAGTTCTCCAGACTGTAGGTGACCCCCTTCACCTGCTCCACCTCCGAGTTCTTCACCTGACCAAAGTGGAGGATCCTCCCGTCCGCTGGAGACACCTGAGGACAACCACAGCTGAAGTCAGAACATGACCCCCGACCCGCTATCATCACCCATCATGCATTGTGTCTGAAACACACACCTGATTATTAATTATTATTAGTAAATTCACTTTAAACAAAACAGAAGATAAAAAAGAAAGAGTCTGAGGTCCGGGACCAGGTCTCACAAGACCAAGTCCTGAGGAGGTGGAGGAGGAGGAGGAGGAGGAGGAGGTGGAGTGTTACCAGGCAGGAGGAGGAGGAGGAGGAGGAGGAGGTGGAGTGTTACCAGGCAGGAGGAGGAGGAGGAGGAGGAGGAGGTGGAGTGTTACCAGGCAGGAGGAGGCGCAGAGAGGTCTGACTGCAGGTTTGAGACGTCGACGGAAGAATTCTCCCAGATTCCTGTAGTGATGTAAGTCCTCCACCGCTGCCTCCTATTGGACGAAACAGAGACAGGAAGGTGACCATGTGACATGTGACCCTTACCCTGTCTCCTCAGCTGGTCCAGGTCCAGGTCCTCACCTGCATGTTGACTCCAAAGGTCCAGATGTAGAGGGAGTAGACGGGTCTGCGGAGCCAGGTGGGGAGCTCCACTCCGTTCAGACGACCCCACGCTCGAGAGAGGAGGCGTGTCGGGAAGGAGCGGTACAACGCCACCTGCAGGAGGAGACAGGTACTAAAGCTTCAATACTGATGATTACAGGAGGAGGTGAAAGAGAGGAGGAGGAGGAGTAGAGAACAGTGATTTGATGTCTGAATAAATAACTTGAGTTTCTGATCAGAAAAAAAAACAAGAAAATAAAACAAATAAAAAATCAGATCAGATCAATCTGATCAGGAAGTCAGTGGCGGCAGCAGCCGGACGGAAGGTGTGTCAGAAAACAGTGAGGCTTCAAAGAGGAGGTGAAGGAGGGAGAGAGGAGGAGATAACAGACGAACAGAAGAAGGCATTCAGCAGCCGCTCTTACCCGATTGGCCAGCGGCCGCAGAGCGCCTACAGACAGGATGTAGCAGAGGAAGGTGATTGGCCGACGGCGCCAAGGGGCGGGACGACACACGCCGCCACTGAGCACGCTCAGACGGTGACGGAGAGCCAAACGAGGTACCTGAAGCCTGATGGTGACGAGATTTAACGAGAGGGTGAGGAGGGGGAGGAGGAGGAGGAGAAAGAGAGAGGAGGAGGAGGGTGAGGGTCAGGGGGAAGTAGAGGAGGAGCAACAGAGGAGGAAAAAGAGAAGAGGAGGATAGTGAGGAGGAGGAGGGGGAAGGTGAGGAGGAGAGGGAGAAAGAGATGAGGAGGAAGAGGAGGAGGGGGAAGGTGAGGAGGAGAAGGAGAAAGAGACGAGGAGGAAGAGGAGGAGAAAGACACGAGGAGGGAGGAGGACCAGGTCCAGGACGGACTAAATGTGAGCAGCTAACTGGGTTAGCAGGTTAGCACAGGATCAAGTGGAAACAGGCTAAGCTAGGCTAAAGCTAAAATAGCTGACCTGCTAAACTAGCTGTTGCCATGGAATACACACACACACACACACACACACACACACACACACACAGTAATCTGCTCTAACCTAACCCCTCCACCCTCCTCTCTGTTTATTCTAATGTGACTTGCCCCCTGGTTCTGCCACCTGTCTCTCTCTCTCTGTTGTGTTCAGGGTCTCTAGCCCTCAGTCAGATTTTTAATTGTTTAATTTTAAAATTTAACGTTTTCTCTGACATACTTTAGTCCTCCCTCCCTCTCCCACCTGAATCGTGC